ACCTTCAGTTTCTTTACATTTCCAACATTTGTTATTGGGCAAGTGATAAATTTTTGCAAGCTTGACTGGGGTCATGTACCACCTGTATATCATTTTCATAATATTCTCTCTTAAAGCATTACATGTCGTAAACTTCATACCTGTGGTCCACAACTGTTCCCAGTCAGCAAACATAATGTTATGTCCAAAATCTTGTGCCCATTTAATCATAACAGATTTCACCGTTTCATCCTGAGTATTCCATTTCAACAGCAAGTTATACATCTTTGACAAAATCTTAGTTTTGGGTTCTAACAGTTCTGTTTCTAATTTTGATTTTTCCACCTGGAAGCCAATTTTCTTGTCCAAATTATATGCCTCCTGTCAGGGAACTGACATCGGAGCGAGAGGCGAAGGGGAGGCTCCTAGATGATGCTGGCGAAGGACCCAGCAGCAGGGGGAGAAACAGCTCAGTAGAGGGGGAGGCAAATCAGCGCAACACCAGGGATAAAGGGGGGCAGATGGGGGAATCGGAGAGAGGGCTCCAGGACTCTTCACTGGACCTCAGTGAGGAGGGGACAGGTCCTCCGCTACCCACGCCCTCCCTGCGCAGAAGACTCCCGCGCAGTGAGAGAGGAAGAGGAGACTGGGTGTCAAACAACTTTTATGTTGGAAGAGGTTCAAGAAACGCCCACTGACGGATTCTGCCAGCGACTGAGGCAGCCACGATGAGAAAGGGCTGTGCAGTCAGAAAGGTTTAACGAGGCAAATTAGCCTAGAGAGGCACCAGTTTACGCACGAGTAACTCATACTCATTACACCTCCATTATCTGATAATAATGAAGCCAGTCTCGCACTTTATTTTTAGTTTCTCAAAACTCTGCAGTTTCAGTCTATCTCCATCTTGTTCCAAAATTTCCCAATATTTCGCCAATTGGCCTCCATATTGAGCCTTTTCAGAGCTTTCGCTTCCATCGGTGACAGCCACCTTGGGGTTTTGTTTTCCAATAAATCCTTGTATCTTATCCAAACATTAAACAATGCTTTCCTAACAAAGGGTTTTTAAATGCTTTATGCACTTTGACCTTGTCATACCACAGATATGCATGCCATCCAAATACATTGTTAAAACCTTCTAGGTCCAAAATGTCTGTGTTTTCAAGAAGTAGCCATTCTTTCAACCAGCAAAAAGCTGCTGATTCATAGTAAAGTTTAAAGTCTGGCAGGGCAAATCCACCCCTTTCCTTTGCATCAGTTAATATCTTAAATTTTATTCTGGGCTTCTTGTCCTGCCAGACAAATCTAGAAATATCTCTCTGCCACTTCTTGAAACAATCCATCTTGTCCACAATTTGCAGTGTTTGAAACAAAAACAGCATTCTAGGCAATACATTCATTTTTATCACAGCAATACGACCCAACAGTGAAAGCTTCAAATTTGACCAAGTTTCTAAATCTTTTTCACTTCCGTCCAACATTTTTCATAATTATCTTTAAATAAGTTCCCATTTTTGGCTGTCATATTAATCCCCAGGTATTTCACTTTCTTAACCACAGTCAAACCTGTCTCATTCTGAAACCTCTCTCTTTCAATCAGTGTTAAATTTTTCTCTAAAACCTTAGTTTTTAACTTGTTCAGTTTAAATCCTGCCACTTGACCAAATTCTTGAATTAGTTCTAAAACCCTTTTAGTACTAGATTCTGGCTCCTGTAACGTCAATACTAAGTCATCTGCAAATGCTCTCAGTTTGTACTGTTTGGCTCCGACCTGTATGCCCTTAACCAACCGGTCCCTTCTAATCATATTCAGCAGAACCTCCAGGACCGATATAAAAAGCAGTGGGAAGATTGGGCACCCCTGTCGTGTCCCTTTTTCTATCTTAAATTCTTCCGTCACCACATTATTTACAATTAATTTAGCCTTTTGTTCAGAGTATATTGCACCTATACCATTTTCAAACCCTTGGCCTACCCCCACCCCCTGTAGGTTCTTCTTCATAAAACTCCAAGAGATGTTGTCAAAGGCTTTCTCCGCGTCCACAAATATCAGAACTGCTTTAGTATTTATATTCACTTCTAATTTTTCCAAAATATCAATTATATTCCTCAAATTATCAGACAAGTGTCTTCCCGGAGAAAGCCCGCTTGATCTTTATGAATCTCTTCCATCAATACTTTTTTCAATCTCTTGGCCAAAATGTCTGCAAAAATTTTGTAATCCACATTAAGTAACGATATAGGGCGGTAGTTCTTAAGCTGAGTCTTTTCAGTCTCTGTTTTCGGTATAAGTGTAATGTACGCCTCTTTCCACGACTCTGGTAGGCACCTTCCATGTTTCCGTCTCATTGGTATTGCCTGAAGTTGTGCTTTTACTATCTCCCTCTTAACAAACTCCCAGCCATCATGAACTCCCTTTCCTTTCAGTATTACTGTCCATGGGATCTCACCCAGCACTTCCCTAAGTTTTATGAAGTCGGCTTTCTTAAAGTCAAGAAATTGAGTCCTAGTATACTTGGCTGCTCCTTTCCGCTGTATAGTAAACTATAGTTTGAACTTGTCCAGACTGGTTGGAACCTGTCTAGGTTGGTTTGAACTGGTCCAAGCTGGTTGGAAGCTGCTCAGACCGGTCGAGGCCAGTTTGAACTGGTCTTGGCCAGTTTCAACCAGGCTAGGATGGTTTGAACCGGCCCAAGCCAGAAGGAACCAGCCCAAGCCAGTAGGAACCAGCCCAAACCAGTTAGAAAAGGTCCAGGCGGGTTCCAGCTTGGCCAGACTAGTTTGAACTAGCCCAAACGGGTTGGAACTAGCTTACACAGGAACAGGTCTAGACTGTTTTGAACCAGTCCAAGCAGGTTGGAACTGGTCCAGGCAGTTAGGTCCTGTTCAAACCGGGTGGAACTGGTGCAAGCCAGTTTGAAAAGGTCTAGGCTGGCATTAACCGGTCTAGACCGGTTTTGCCAGTTCAAGCCAGGTTGACCAGGACTAGGCCGGGGGGTGCCGGTCCACTCCGGGTTGACCCAGTCGAGGCCAGTATGTGCCGGTCCAAAGTTTGAACTGGCCCAGACTGGTTGGAATTAGCTCAGACTGGTTGGAACAGGTCCAGGTAGGTGGAACAGGAGTATGTCTCTTGAAACCAGCCCTGATCTGTTGGAAACAGTTGATAACGGTTGGATCCGATCCAAGATGGTTGGAACCAGACCAAATGAGTTGAAAAAGTCCAGGCGGGTTCCAACTTGCCCAGACCGGTTTGAACTGGCCCAGACTGGTTGGAACAGAGCCAAGCTGGTTGGAACAGGTTTATGTCACTTGGAACCAGCCCAGACCTGTTGGAACAAGTTCATACTGGTTGGATCTGGTACAAGCCAGTAGGAACAAGCCCAAACCAGATTGAAAAAGTCCAGGCAGATTCCAAGCTCTCCAGACCAATTTGAACTGGTCCAACTTCCCCAGACCGGTTTGAAGTGGTTGGAACAGGTCTAGGCTGGTTTGAACCAGTCGAAACCGAGTACAACAGGTCCAAGCTGGTTGGAACCGGTCCAAGCCGGTTTAAACCATCTCAAACTAGTTGGAGAAAAGTCCAGGCAAGTTCCAACATACCCAGACTAGTTTAAACTGGGCCAGACTGGTTGGAACTGGCTCAGACTGGTTGGAACCGGTCTAGGCTGGTTTGAACCAGTCCAAGTTGGTTGAAACAGGTCCAAACTGCTTGGAACCGGTCTAGGCCCGTTTGAACCGGTCCAAGCCGGTTGGAGCCTGTTGAGACCAGTTTAAACCAGTCCAAGCTGGTTTGAACCGGTCAAGTCCGGTTTGAAATGGCCCAAGGCAGTTTGAGCAGTTCTAAGTGGGTTGGAACTGGCCCATACAGGTTGGAGCAGGTCCAGGCCAGTTGGAGCAGGTGCAGGTCATTTGAAACTAACCCAAGCTGGTTAGAACAGGTCCAGGCCAGTTGGAACAGGACTATGTCACTTGAACCAGCCCAGACCAGTCACAACCAGTTCATACAAGTTGGGTCTCATCCAAGCCAGTTGGAACCAGCCCAACCCAGGTTGGAACCAATCGAGGCCGGTTTGAACCGGTCGAGGCCGGTTTGTGTCGGTCCAAGCCGGTTGGTGCCGGTCCAAGCAGGTTTGAATCTGCAAGGGTGTACCAAATACAGACCCTTCCATCGGGGTTTGGCTCTGCTGGTGGCACCTCCCCCCTTAGGTTTCGCTCTGAGGTGGCATCTATTCTCCTACTTTCCCCAGTGGTGAAGAGGATCATTAAAAGATGCCTGCAATCTTGCCACGTGGGCAGATGGGTTACCATGATTGAGGCCATTAGGTTCTGCATAGCTTGAGGCTTTTCAGAAAAAGGCAGGGTATGGGTTTTCCAGTTTAGCAGGTCAGTAGTAGTGAATGGCATATATTGCATGGTAACAGGCCTAGACCGGTACAAACCTGCCTAGACTGGTTCACACTGGCCTTGAACCTGTTTCCAACCAATTCCAACTGGCTTGAACCTGTTTCAATCAACTTGGCCTGGTTTAGACAAGCCTAGACCTGTTCCAACCAGTCTGGGCCAGTTCCAACTGGTCTGGGCAAGTTGGAACCTGCCTGGACATTTTCCACCCTCTACCACGAGGATGGCGTGCATCTTTCCAATGCGGGAAACGATGTTTGGTTGGCTGACATATATGCGGGGATTAGGGATTGGTTGCAGGTCTGAGGGTATTGGCGGCAAGCTTTGCTCAGGTGGCGGTCAGGCATTGGTATGGGTATTGTTATGTAGATGTATGGGGAGGAGCGCCATCACCTCCCCCGGATATTGAACGGTAGTCCGATGAAGGATTCTGGGGGGCATGGCCCCGTCTGAAGCCTATGGAGGCCAGGGTCCAAGGCACGCACCCGAGCAGTGACCCTGGGGGAGTGCCTAGTTGATGTGCATCAGCAGGGCTCCACCTGCTGGTGTTAACCTTTCTGGATTTTCAAACAAGCAGGCTGAAGCCAGATAGTGGGATAGGACTAATGCCTAAGCCAATATCACTCATCACTTGTAACCAATAAAGTTGTGGCCAATTTTAGCCCATTAACCTTAAAATAACGGTGTTATGTGTCTTTATTCCTACTGGTGGGAGGCGGGAACTCGCCACGCAACCTGGCTTGGCCAATTCAGCTCACAATGCATTCTCAAAGTCTCTGGGGGTCAGTTTGACACCACAGTCCCCTGAGAAAGCCCTTTTGAAATTTGCTAACATACAGCCTGGTGGAGTGCTTGAATTACAAGCTGTTATCATAGAATCATAGAATCATAGAATCATAGAATCATAGAGCTGGAAGAGACCACAAGGGCCATCAAGTCCAACCCCCTGCCTAGCAGGAAACACCATCAGAGCACTCCTGACATATGGTTGTCAAGCCTCTGCTTAAAGACCTCCAAAGAAGGAGACTCCACCACACTCCTTGGCAGCAAATTCCACTGTCGAACAGCTCTTACTGTCAGGAAGTTCTTCCTAATGTTTAGGTGGAATCTTCTTTCTTGTAGTTTGGATCCATTGCTCCGTGTCCGCTTCTCTGGAGCAGCAGAAAACAACCTTTCTCCCTCCTCTATGTGACATCCTTTTGTATATTTGAACATGGCTATCATATCACCCCTTAACCTCCTCTTCTCCAGGCTAAACATGCCCAGCTCCCTTAGTCGTTCCTCATAAGGCATCGTTTCCAGACCTTTGACCATTTTGGTTGCCCTCCTCTGGACACATTCCAGTTTGTCAGTGTCCTTCTTGAACTGTGGTGCCCAGAACTGGACACAGTACTCCAGGTGAGGTCTGACCAGAGCAGAATACAGTGGCACTATTACTTCCCTTGATCTAGATGCTATACTCCTATTGATGCAGCCCAGAATTGCATTGGCTTTTTTAGCTGCCGCGTCACACTGTTGGCTCATGTCAAGTTTGTGGTCAACCAAGACTCCTAGATCCTTTTCACATGTACTTTGAACACTCCCCCCGCATCGCTATGTCCCTTGTGAAGTGCTTCTCACCAGATTCTCAGAGATTCGCTTCCCTTTGTTCCCGATCAAAATGCAGTCACCTGATTTGGAAATGCGGTACTGAAAGGTCCACATACAGTGCCCTGGCGCCCTGTTACCATCAATTCTGTTGGAACCAGTTCAGATCGGTTGCAACCAGTCCAAGCCAGTTGGAACTAGCTGAAACCAGTTGGGAAAAGTCCATGTGGGTTCCAACTCGCCCAGACCAGTTTGAACTGGCCCAGACTGGTTGGAACTGGCTCAGATTGCTTGGAACAGGTCTAGGCTGGTTTGAACCGGTCCAAGTCAGTTGGAACAGGTCCAAGCCGGTTGGAACCAGTCTAGGCCAGTATGAACCGGTCTAGGCAGGTTTCTGCCGGTCCAAGCCAGTTTGAACCGGTCAAGGCAGGTTTGTACCGGTCTAGGCTGGTTTGAACCGGTCCAAACCGGTTGGAACTGGTCTAGGCCAGTTTGAACAAGTCTAGGCCAGTTGGTTCCGGTCCAAGCCGGTTTCAACTGGTCTAGGTCGGTTTGAACCGGTCCAGGCTGGTTTCTGCTGGTCCGAGCCGGTTTGAAGAGGTCTAGGCCGGTTGGAACAGCTCTGTGTCACTTGGAAGCAGCCCAAACCTGCTGGGTGTTGGAAAACAAGGCCCCTCGAGAGAGGCTGGCCCCCCTCGTCGGTTCCCGGAGCTTGTTTACCGGTGATCTGCCCTGGCTGGCATCCCCGCAGTCAAGGAAGATCTTGATAGGCGACATTTCCCAGCCTGGAAAATGCACACCCCCTCCCTCCTTGCTTCCCTAGCAGGGAAAGGAGATAGTCAGAAAGTCTATTTACATCTCTTTATTTCTGACTTTGCATCACTACAGAAAACATTTCCGAAGAGTTCAGTGTTCAGCAAGCAAGTGACAAAGACTTCCTTCACATACGCAACAGGAAGGTCTCATATTACACACTGCACAAATCTTTGTGAAGCCTGTGAACTTCCGGGAAGATTCTTTCCCACAGCTAGCCACATCATGTGATGTTTTCACCAAGCTGCAAGTTTGCAGCTGCGTTGCTCTCATATCGTAACATCCTCCCCCATATGAATCAACGTTAGCTGCGAACAAAGCTTGATCCAGAGAAGAAAACAAACAATTGTTATACACGTAACAATCCCCTGTTGTTTCAGTTCCACCCTTGGAACTACCCGCCACTGGTTTCACCAATGTAACTCTCTGGTTGTCTGTTTTCCAAGGAATGAGTGCATCTGCATTACCTTGGCTAGGGAAGGTAGTGTTACGCTTAGCAACTCCCTGTCGTGTCTTTGTCTCTGACTTAGACACACTTTTTACCAGGCTTGAGTTGTCAACAATAGTAACACATGCAACAGCTGAATTAGCAAACTCTTGAGAATACCTCTTGGGTGGTACGCCCTTTGTGATTCTCTCAGACCTGCGAATGAGGTGCTGATCCTCTCTGCTGACTGGTTCATCTTCAGGACCTTTTGGAGAACCAGTTCCAACAGTAAACAGTGGTGCAACCTTAACCTGTGAAGGTCTAGCCATTATGTGTGAACCTCTCTCAATGACTGTGTCAACAGAACTTCCTGAGCTTTCTGTGTCACTCTCAGTACCAGAATAATCAGAATCATCATAATCATCATCTGAATTGTCATCAGTGGGAAATGTGTGAAAAACCTCTGTCTCCTGTCTCGGAGTGCTCTCTAAAAACTTTGTGAGAATCACCTGACCAGATTCAGACAAAATTACTCTGTAGAGACCCTTTTCATAACCCACAAAAATGCCTCTGGCATTCTTTATCCCATCTGGAGTTTCTGTCCGGATGTGAGATCCAAAAACCTTAAAATGCATTATAGAAGGTTTCCTGTGGAATAGCCTCTCAAAAGGAGAACGTTCCATACCTTTTGAAACCTTTCTCACCCAAGTATAACAAAATGCCAATAAAGATTCAGCCCAATACTCATGTGGCAAATGTGAACTCAGCAATTGTGCATTCATGCCATTTTTCAACTCTTTGTTCACCTTTACACACACACTTTTGTTCCATGCAGCTTCTGAGACAGCAATCTTATGCTCTATCCCTTGTCTTTTGAGGAAATCCTGAAAATCCTGTGAAAGAAAAATTGGCTTCTCATCTGTGAAAAGATAATCTATATTAGCATCATGAACCTTATCCTCTTAACCTTATCACAAAAATCCTTAAACCTTGCTAAGGTTTCTCTGGGTGATTCCAATATATATGACTGAACCCAAAGGGTGCTCATCAATGGTTCCTCTTCATCCTGGAGAAGAGTGACTAGTGGGGTGCCACAGGGTTCTGTCTTGGGCCTGGTCTTATTCAACATCTTTATCAACGACTTGGATGATGGACTCAAGGGCATCCTGATCAAATTTGCAGATGACACCAAACTGGGAGGGGTGGCTAACACCCCAGAGGACAGAATCACACTTCAAAACGACCTTGACAGATCAGAGAACTGGGCCAAAACAAACAAGATGAACTTTAACAGGGAGAAATGTAAAGTATTGCACTTGGGCAAAAAAAAATGAGAGGCACAAATACAAGATGGGTGACACCTGGCTTGAGAGCAGTACATGTGAAAAGGATCTAGGAGTCTTGGTTGACCACAAACTTGACATGAGCCAACAGTGTGACGTGGCAGCTAAATAAGCCAATGCAATTCTGGGCTGCATCAATAGGAGTATATCATCTAGATCAAGGGAAGTAATAGTGCCACTGTATTCTGCTCTGGTCAGACCTCACCTGGAGTACTGTGTCCAGTTCTGGGCACCACAGTTCAAGAAGGACACTGACAAACTGGAACGTGTCCAGAGGAGGGCAACCAAAATGGTCAAAGGTCTGGAAACGATGCCTTATGAGGAACGACTAAGGGAGCTGGGCATGTTTAGCCTGGAGAAGAGGAGGTTAAGGGGTGATATGATAGCCATGTTCAAATATATAAAAGGATGTCATATAGAGGAGGGAGAAAGGTTGTTTTCTGCTGCTCCAGAGAAGCAGACACGGAGCAATGGATCCAAACTACAAGAAAGAAGATTCCACCTAAACATTAGGAAGAACTTCCTGACAGTAAGAGCTGTTCGACAGTGGAATTTGCTGCCAAGGAGTGTGGTGGAGTCTCCTTCTTTGGAGGTCTTTAAGCAGAGGCTTGACAACCATATGTCAGGAGTGCTCTGATGGTGTTTCCTGCTTGGCAGGGGGTTGGACTCGATGGCCCTTGTGGTCTATTCCAACTCTATGATTCTATATAGCCATACATATTGAGAATAGTGATCAACAAATACAAGGTAGTATTTTGAATTGCCTCTAGATGGTGCTAGAGGACCAATTACATCAGCATACACTCGCTGAAAAACACAGGTAATCTTAGGTGCCTTTTTATCCTTGGCTCCGTCTGATATACCTGCAAGAGAAAGCATTTTAGACTCACATGCAGTACAACTTTTGTAATCATTCTTATCAAAAGTTAAGAGATACAGTCCGTCTTTCTCTCTGGCAGAAAGATACAGTTCTCCATCTTTAAAGATTTTGCAACTCTGCTTATCATAGGACAACACCAGTCCTTTCTTTGTCATCTGAGATACACTCAACAGATTGAACTTTAAATCAGGAACAAAATACACATTGTTTATAGTCAAGTTTAGGCTTTCCAAATATACAGTCCCGATCCCTGTCGCTTCCATCTCCTGGCCATTGGCCTGTTTCACAGTGAAGCGTTGCTTCTCAAACGTAGAAAACAATTCCCGGCGGGATGCCATGTGCTGGGTCGCTCCCGTGTCCAAAACAAATGCGTTTTCCACCGAAAACGTATCATATCGTAACACTGGGACCCGTTCATACTGGTTGGTTCCGGTCCAAGCCAGTAGGAACCAGCCCAAAGCAGTTTGAAAAAGTCCAGGTGGATTCCAAGTTCCCAAGACTGGTTTGAACGGGTGGAACAGGTCCAAGCCGGTTGGAACCGGTTCAGACTGGTTGGAATCGGTCCAAGCCGGTTTGAACCAGCTGAAACCAATTGGGAAAAGTCCAGGCAGGTTCCAACTTGCCCACACCAGTTTGAAATACCCCAGACTCGTTGGAACTGGCTCAGACTGCTTGGAACAGGTCTAGGCTGGTTTGAACCGGTCCAGGTCCAGGTCCAAGTCGGTTGAAACAGGTCCAAGTCGGTTGGAATCGGTTTAGGCCACTTTGAACCGTTCTAAGCCGGTTTATGCCGGTACAAGCCAGTTTGAACCGGTCTTGGCTGGTTTGAATAGGTCTAGGCAAGTTTGAAATGCCCCAAGCCAGTTTGAGCAGTTCTAAGTGGGTTGAAACTGGCCCAGACAGGTTGGAGTAGGTTCAGGCCAGTTGGAGCAGGTGCAGGTCATTTGAAACTGAATTTGACCGGTTCAAACCAGCATAGAGCAGTTCAAACCGGCTTCAACCGGCACTAATCAGCTTGGACTGGTTCAAACCAGTCTAGACCTCTTCCAAACAGTCTGAGCTAGTTCCAACCTGTCTGGGCCAGTTCAAATTGGTCTGGGCAAGTTGGAACCCGCCTGGACCTTTTCCAAATGCTTTGGGCTGGTTCCAACTGGCTTGGGCTGGATCCAACTGGTATGAAATGATTGCAACAGGTCTGGGCTGGTTCCAAGCGACATAGACCTGTTCCAACCAGCCTGGACCTGTTGTAACCAGCTTGGTCCAGTTTCAAATGACCTGGACCAGCTCCAACTGTCCTGGACCTGCTCCAAACTGTCTGGGCCAGTTCCAACCCACTTAGAACTGTTCAATCCGACCAAGACCGGTTCAAACCTGCCTTGACCGATTGAAACCGGTTTGGACCGGCACAAACCTATCTAGACCTGTTAAAACCGGCCTAGACAGGTTCCAACCAGCTTGGACCTGTTTCAACCGAATTGGACTGGTTCAAACCACCCTAGACCTGTTCCAACCAGTCTGGGCCAGTTCCAACTGGTCTGTGCAAATTGAAAACCACCTGGGCCTTTCCCAACTGCTTTGGGCTGGTTCCAACCGGCATGGACCAGACCCAACTGGTATGAACTGGTTCCAACTGGGCTGCACTGGTCCCAAGCGAAATAGTCCTGTACCAACCGGCCTGGACCTGTTCTAACCAGCTGGGCCAGTTTCAAATGACCTGCACCTGCTCCAACTGGCCTGGACCTGCTCCAACCTATCTGGGCCAGTTCCAACCCACTTGGAACTGCTCAAACTGGCTTGGGCCATTTCAAACTGGCCTAGACCTGTTCAAATGGGCCTAGACCGGTACAAACCAGCCAAGACCGGTTCAAACCGGCTTGGACTGGCACAAACTGGCTTAGACAGGTTCAAACGGGCCAAGACCGGTTTTAACTGGCTTGGACCTGTTTCAACCGACTTGGACCGGTTCAAACCAGCCCAGACCTGTTTCAACCAGTCTGAGGTCTAGGCTGGTTTGAACAGGCCCAAGCCAGTTTGAACAGTTCCAGACAGCTTCAAGCAGGTCCAGGCCGGTTGGAACAGGTGGATGTCATTTGAAACTTGCGCAAGCTGGTTAGATTTGGCCTACCGGAAGGGCGTGGACTTAATGTGGAACATTTTCGATGATTTTGATGATCTGAGGATTTCTTTCCCAAATTAAGTCACAATTTGGTCATCACTGTTGGAAAGGTGCACTTGGAGGGACTGCCGATGCTCTATTGGTATGAACAAATCCAGAAAGATTCTGGAACGCTCAGTGGCTCGAAGAGTGGCAGCGCTGGGGGGGGGGACATTGACCACCCCAACATCCAGTTCAGCAAGGTGACCCTCTACCACGAGGATGGCGTGCATCCTTCCACTGCGGGAAACGATGTTTGGTTGGCTGACAGATCTGCGGGGATTAGGGATTGGTTGCAGGTCTGAGGGTATTGGCGGTGAGCTTTGCTCGAGTGGCGGTTAGGCATTGGTATGGGTATTGTTATGTAGATGTATGGGGGGGGGAGGAGCGCCATCACCTCCCCCGGATATTGAAGGGTAGTCCGATAAAGGATTCTGGCGGGCATGGCCCCGTCTGAAGCCTATGGAGGCCACGGCCCAAGGCACGCCCCCGAGCAGTGACCCTGAGGGAGTGCCTAGTTGATGTGCATCAGCAGGGCTCCCCCTGCTGGTGTTAACCCTTCCGGATTTTCAAGCAAGCAGGCTGAAGCCAGATAGTCTGATAGGTGGGAGGTGGGAACTCGTCACGCAACCTGGCTTGGCCAATTCAGCTCACAATGCGTTCTCAAAGTCTCTGGGGTCAGTTTGACACCATAGTCCCCTGAGAAAGCCCTTTTGAAATTTGCTATCATACAGCCTGGTGGAGTGCTTGAATTACAAGCTGTTGAACACTCCCCCCGCATCGCTATGTCCCTTGTGAAGTGCTTCTCACCAGATTCTCAGAGATTAGCTTCCCTTTGTTCCCGATCAAAATGCAGTCACCTGATTTGGAAATGCGGTACTGAAAGGTCCACATTCAGTGCCCTGGCACCCTGTTACCATCAATTCTGTTGGAACCAGTTCAGATCAGTTGGAACCAGTCCAAGCCAGTTGGAACCAGCTGAAACCAATTGGGAAAAGTCCATGTGGGTTCCAACTCGCCCAGACCAGTTTGAACTGGCCCAGACTGGTTGGAACTGGCTCAGATTGCTTGGAACAGGTCTAGGCTTGTTTGAACCGGTCCAGGTCGTTTGAAACAGGTCCAAGCCAGTTGGAACCGGTCTAGACCAGTATGAACCGGTCTAGGCAGGTTTGAGCCAGTACAAGCCAGTTTGAACCGGTCTTGGCTGGTTTGAAAGCAGGCCTCAAGCCAGTTTGAGCAGTTCCAAGTGGCTTGGAATTGGCCTGTTCAAACTGGCCTAGACCGGTACAAAACAGCCAAGACCAGTTCAAACCGGCTTGGACTGGCACAAACTGGCTTAGACCGGTTCATACTGGCCTAGACCGGTTCCAACCGGCTTGGACCTGTTTCAACTGACCTGGACCGGTTCAAACCAGCCTAGACCTGTTTCAAGCAGTCTGAGGTCTAGGATGGTTTGAAGAGGCTCAAGCAAGTTTGAACAGTTCCAGACAGCTTCAAGCAGGTCCAGGCCGGTTGGAACAGATGGATGTCATTTGAAACTGGCCCAGGCTGGTTAGTTTTGGCCTACCGGAAGGGCGTGGACTTAATGTGGAACATTTTCGATGATTTTGATGATCTGAGGATTTCTTTCCCAAATTTAGTCATAATTTGGTCACCACTGTTGGAAAGGCGCACTTGGAGGGACTGCCGATGTCCTATTGCTATAAACAAATCCAGAAAGATTCTGGAACGCTCAGTGGCTCGAAGAGTGGCAGCGCTGGGGGGGCGGGACATTGACCAGCCCAACATCCAGTTCAGCAAGGTGACCCTCTACCACGAGGATGGCGTGCCTCTTTCCAATGCGGGAAACAATGTTTGGTTGGCTGACATATCTGCGGGGATTAGGGATTGAATCATAGAATCATAGAATCATAGAGTTGGAAGAGACCACAAGGGCCATCGAGTCCAACCCCTGCCAAGCAGGAAACAGCATCAGAGCACTCCTGACATATGGTTGTCAAGCCTCTGCTTAAAGACCTCCAAAGAAGGAGACTCCACCACACTCCTTGGCAGCAAATTCCACTGTCGAACAGCTCTTACTGTCAGGAAGTTCTTCCTAATGTTTAGGTGGAATCTTCTTTCTTGTAGTTTGGATCCATTGATTGGTTGCAGGTCTGTGGGTATTGGCGGCGAGCTTTGCTCAAGTGGCGGTTAGGCATTGGTATGGGTATTGTTATGTAGATGTTTGGGAGGAGGAGTGCCATCACCTCCCCCGGATATTGAAGGGTAGTCCGATAAAGGATTCTGGGGAGCATGGCCCCGTCTGAAGCCTATGGAGGCCAGGGCTCAAGGCACCACCCCCCCCCCCCCGAGCAGTGACCCTGGGGGAGTGCCTAGTTGATGTGCATCAGCAGGGCTCCCCTGCTGGTGTTAACCCTTCCGGATTTTCAAGCAAGCAGGCTGAAGCCGGATAGTCAGATAGGTGGGAGGTGGGAACTCGCCACGCAACCTGGCTTGGCCAATTCAGCTCACAATGCATTCTCAAAGTCTCTGGGGTCAGTTTGACACCACAGTCCCCTGAGAAAGCCCTTTTGAAATTTGCTATCTTACAGCCTGGTGGAGTGCTTGAATTACAAGCTGTTGAACACTCCCCCCGCATTGCTATGTCCCTTTTGAAGTGCTTCTCACCAGATTCTCAGAGATTCGCTTCCCTTTGTTCCCGATCAAAATGCAGTCACCTGATTTGGAAATGCGGTACTGAAAGGTCCACATTCAGTGCCCTGGCGCCCTGTTACCATCAATTCTGTTGGAACCAGTTCAGATCAGTTGGAACCAGTCCAAGCCAGTTGGAACCAGCTGAAACCAATTGGGAAAAGTCCATGCGGGTTCCAGCTTGCCCAGACCAGTTTGAACTGGCCGAGACTGGTTGGAACTGGCTCAGATTGCTTGGAACAGGTCTAGCCTTGTTTGAACGGGTCCAGGTCGGTTGAAACAGGTCCAAGCCGGTTGGAACCGGTCTAGGCCAGTATGAACCGGTCTAGGCAGGTTTGAGCCAGTACAAGCCAGTTTGAACCGGTCTTGGCTGGTTTGAATAGGTCTAGGCCGGTTTGAAACGGCCCAAGCCAGTTTGAGCAGTTCCAAGTGGGTTGGAATTGGCCTGTTCAAACTGGCCTAGACCGGTATAAAACAGCCAAGACCAGTTCAAACCGGCTTGGACTGGCACAAACTGGCTTAGACCAGGTTCATAGCGGGCCAAGACCGGTTTTAACCGGCTTGGACCTGTTTCAACCGACTTGGACCGGTTCAAACCAGCCCAGACCTGTTTCAACCAGTCTGAGGTCTAGGCTGGTTTGAACAGGCCCAAGCAAGTTTGAACAGTTCCAGACAGCTTCAAGCAGGTCCAGGCCGGTTGGAACAGATGGATATCATTTGAAACTGGCCCAGGCTGGTTAGATTTGGCCTACCGGAAGGGCGTGGACTTAATGTGGAACATTTTCGATGATTTTGATGATCTGAGGATTTCTTTCCCAAATTTAGTCATAATTTGGTCACCACTGTTGGAAAGGCGCACTTGGAGGGACTGCCGATGTCCTATTGCTATAAACAAATCCAGAAAGATTCTGGAATGCTCAGTGGCTCGAAGAGTGGCAGCGCTGGGGGGGCGGGACATTGACCAGCCCAACATCCAGTTCAGCAAGGTGACCCTCTGCCACGAGGATGGCGTGCCTCTTTCCAATGCGGGAAACGATGTTTGGTTGGCTGACATATCTGCAGGGATTAGGGATTAAATTATAGAATCATAGAATCATAGAGTTGGAAGAGACCACAAGGGCCATCGAGTCCAACCCCCTGCCAAGCAGGAAACACCATCAGAGCACTCCTGACATATGGTTGTCAAGCCTCTGCTTAAAGACCTCCAAAGAAGGAGACTCCACCACACTCCTTGGCAGCAAATTCCACTGTCGGACAGCTCTTACTGTCAGGAAGTTCTTCCTAATGTTTAGGTGGAATCTTCTTTCTTGTAGTTTGGATCCATTGATTGGTTGCAGGTCTGAGGGTATTGGCGGCGAGCTTTGCTCAAGTGGCGGTTAGGCATTGGTATGGGTATTGTTATGTAGATGTATGGGGGGGAGGAGCGCCATCACCTCCCCCGGATATTGAAGGGTAGTCCGATAAAGGATTCTGGGGGGCATGGCCCCGTCTGAAGCCTATGGAGGCAAGGGCCCAAGGCGCGCCCCTGAGCAGTGACCCTGAGGGAGTGCCTAGTTGATGTGCATCA